AGCTATTTGGCCAACTGACAATAAGAGATCCACATTTGTACCCATTTCATAGAAAAGTGATCCAACAGGATGCTAAAAAAATCATATCAGTATTATTATTGATATAATAATAATGTTATTGATATCACATGTAAGTAAAATGTTGATGAAATTAAGCTTGTCAGTTCAAAACTCCAAGGCCCTCTGCAGGAGAAAGCTGAGGCTTTCCATTCCCGAAAAAGTCGGAGTCCTGGAAACCCAGAGCGGCAGTCCCACTCTGACGTTAGGGGTGCTGTCGTCAGAGTCAGGCTCAACACAATGACAGCGAGTTTGGTTTTCTGGAAAGTTTACAACATATTGTAACATAATTTCTTTGAGTTAAATCTAAACAGCATGTTTGGCATGCGTAGCTGTTGAAGTCTGCTCTGTTAGTTTGGTGTAGAGCTAGTGATTAGATAGAGATTTCATGAATTCTTTAGGACATATGTTTCCTAGTCTTTCATCACAATCTTCCCTTTGAAATACTAATTTCAAGGAATTCTAGAAAGCAGTAAATTTCAGTTATGGTCAATTAATGTGGCACTTCTAACCATGGGTCTGTATATGATATATTATGGTTCTGGACTTTCTATACCTGTGGGTATGGTCCCATTTTGAAGGACATACTCAAATATGCTGATTGACAGGAGTGGGGTGGAATTGAGACCTAACCTTGGTAGATGAAGTGGGCTGTCACACTCTTTGTTAAGATCTCTCCTTAATGGAGAGTGTGAACTAGACCACAACCGTTGTTTCCTTGAGGACATATGTCCTTTTACCTTGGTAAGGGGTGTGATTTTAGCCAGCATTTTTGATGAGACTTAAAAAGCTGGTCCTAACACACAGCAACTCACCTGAAAGCCAGACCTCTTTGGTGAGTTTGGGTAGAGGAAGATGACCTGCTTTGGGTTTTGAAAAATTTTGTCTATTGGCTCTGGACCCTGCACTTGCCTCATCACTGCCTGACCAGTGGATTTGTAACTGAGTAGCTTACATCATTACATAAGGCAATTCCTCAGAGTTTCGTAAATCTGTATGGGAAGCTGCAGGGATTCACAGAACCCAAGACTGTGGGAGAATATACTTAAAAAAGGAGTAGGTAGAAAATACAGGTGAATAATATCTCAAGATGGTTAGACATTTAGGGTCTCATTCATCTCCAACACCTCGGGATTGGTCCGGTATTAACTCTACTTAAAAACAAAAATCTATTACCACAAAATAATAATTTATTGTAAAACAAGATAGCAATGTCACAAGAAAAACAAAAATGATTGCTTGTTAATCCTTCAGTTTAGCTCAGAAAGTCTTATTCCTCCCTGGTTTGTCATTTGTTTCTTCCTGAGTTGGTCTAGTCTGAAATATCCTTTCTTTATCTATAAATGCTTAACTCATTCCCTTTTTGCCATAGATTCTGATAATAAAACCCCCTCCCTCATTGTCCTTAGATAAAAATTCTTCTACATAATGTGCACTCTTGTCTTCATTTGAAGCCTGGTTCAATTTCCCCATGAGACAAGTAACATTCTCATCTTGATTTCTACATTGCTTTCCTATGTAAATTGACCTCCAATACAATGAAACACCTGCATGTGACTTCTGACTCTCAAAAACCTAACTACTAATAGCGTACTGTTGATTGGAAAGCTTACTGATAACATAAAGAGCCCATTAACATATACACTATGTCCTATGTATTACACTGCACCCTGATAAAAGTATTTTTAAAATAGTACCAGGCTTTCTGCCTGCTGGCATAGCTATGTCCACGATTTCACAGTTCACACCCCCACCTCTCTTTCATTACCCAATAGTCCTTATGAAGAATTATTCATCTTAAAATAGAAGGAAAACTGAAGTTGCACATCTCAATATAAAGCAATTAAACTTTTTTCTTGTAATATCATGCATTTTCTTTGTTGGAAGCATGTCCAGCATCAATAATGCCACTGCTTATGGACTCAATGGTGTCATTCAAGGACTTGAGAATTGCACTATCTATGATGGACAGTACACAAGGAGATTCAGGCCATTTTTTTATTTTATATTTTCATTGCAATGCACTATTTCATATTTAGAGATGAATAGTGTCACAAGATATTTTAAGTAGGTAGTTTCAATACTTGAGATCTTTGCAATAGCAAAAGCAGGTAGCTATAAAACTACATTTGCATAGTATGTATTGAAATTAATTTTATACAATTATGATTTAATAGTGAATTATTATAATTATTTTCTCTCAATTTCAAATGTTATTATGTATGGTCTGTAACTCTGTGTGCATGCATTTTGATAAATTTGAACCTTTTTTAATGTCTTTTGGGTATTTATGATAGCAAATGATAAAAATGTATGATACTCACATGTTTTATGCATTCGTGCTTTCTTGAACTTTTGTTAATTTTTCCAGTATTTCTAGTCTTCATGGTTCATCAATAAAATTTTACAAATTGATACAAGTAGCCATCACTCTTCTAAATTTTGAAGGCCCACCTACAAATGAAACAAAACAGTTTAGATGCTTGTTGTTCATGGGTTAGCTGTTTATACCTTACATTTTTGTATTTGTTGTGCCAACACAGTGACTGATATAAATATTTGATTATATTTTGATTTATAAATATTTGATTATATGTGTGAGGAGAAATTTCTCTTTTGTACATGAGTAAAGTGAAAGATTTGCCTAAAGTCTCATGGTATTTTTAATGCTCAGAAATTCATTATTATGGTTGTTGTTGCTATTAATTTTCCATTAGTCAGATCCATCTTATAGTGAACATATTTACACAGACTTTATTGTTGTTGTTATTACTGAATATTATTAAGTTGACTTCAAATCATAAGGTCTTTATATAACAAACAAAAATGCTTCCAGATCCTATAGAACCTGTTTAATCATTCCTTTTTTTAGCCCATTGTTAGTTAGGTGTCAATAGACTTCATTGAGGGTCTCCACCTTTTATGTTGTCCCTGTGCTTTGATCCCATCTGAGGACATGTCCAAACTAAATGAAATGAAAACTCACCATCATTGTCTCTAAGGAATATTTTGACTGTACTTTTGTAAAAATAGATTTTTTCATTTTGATTTTGATTTGCTTTTGTTTTTTATTTTGTTAAGTGTTGTTGAATTGGTTTTGACTCATAGCTACTCTCAATAAACAAGATGAATCTGAGCATTTTCTATATCTATTTCTGTATCTGTGTCTATACACATGTATATTTCTGTCTATCAACTAATTAGTCTTCTTTGTGTTCCCTAAACTGTGTTTATTTCACTGCTTTTACGTGCTAGCAACGGTTAATTTAGGATCTTTTTTCACTTCTGCAATTCATGTATTGAGATGTATATTTGGATGTACTCATTATTTAAGTTCCTATGACAACCATTTCCCTAGGACGTTATTGGTTGCTCTGAACAACTGATAAAAGTGAAGGTTTCTTTTTGCGGGGTGGGGGAAGCATAACAAAAAATAAAACCATTATGCAGATGACAATTATGGGCAATTTAGTAACTTTATATAAAAGACACTCATTAACCAAATGTTGCTGTTCCATATTTAAAAGTCACAAAGAAAATGAGAAAAGGAAAAACAATGATTGCTAAGAGTTTATGTTGATTGCTCAGCTCTGACTTAACACAGATTGACTAAGGATTCCAAACCATTGTTGAAAATTATTTTACAAAATGGATACCTTCACCCAAAGTTTTACTCAATGCTTACTTTAACCTTGATTTTATTGTGCTTAACTATCTGACTAAAATTATGTGAAAATTATAACAATAATGATTTAAGCAAGAATACATACATGTGATCACTGTTCTCTACAGACTAATACTGATTCTATGAATCTAAAATAATCGTTTCTTTATTATTTTATTGTAAACAAAAACTGTGGTGCACAGTGAGACCATACACAATAACGTGGTGAGACAATCATGAATCATTTGTACTGGTCCTAAGTACAACAAAATGAAATACTTCCTTGACCTACATCACTTCACAACCTTTATCTTGTTTGCACCCAGAGGGTTCACGATGCGACTCAAGATAAGAAAACTATAGTGTACAATTTCCTGAACAGAATGACTGATCAGGGAAGACTGTGCCTTGGAATTAGAACTTAAGTCTTGACATTTTCCTTAAGAGTTTTCAAAAAAATTATTTTCTTTTTTTACTATTAACATTTTAAGATAATAATCCAGAACTGCCAGAAATGTTTTAAAAAGCAATTAAAATCATGAAAAGTATATCAAAATCAGATTTAAACAGAAAGAAGTTGAAATTCCTTACAGTCTCCAGTCTCTGAGAAATCTTAGGTTGATGTGACCTGATGCACTGCCTTCTTTTATTAGCTAACCAGTGTCCTTCAAATAAGTCTTTTTGTTTTTTTGTTTTGTTTTAAACTGGTTTCTCATAGACCATATCATATAGAGTTACTATCACTTGAAATTGAAAGAGTATTGAATAGTGTAATTGATATCCTACTGAGACATTCTTAGACTCTAAGATCGTATGTCATTAGAAACCCAGTTCCCTTCCAATATTCAATAACTGTTAAGGAGTTACTAATTAAAAGCAAACTCTCCTTGATTGTGTTTGTCACTACTGTCCTATGTTTAATGATTCAAGCATAATAGCCATGTTAAAAACTATTTGTAAAAATGAAAATGCTGAAAGTATATGATTGAGGAGAATAATTTCCTGCCTTATTCATCTTTAATCCATGTAAAATATTTTATGAGATTAAACTTCATTGAAACAATATAGTTAAATATTATGTTAATCATAAACTAATCTTTATGAGAAGACAGGACATACCTGTTTTGTTTAACACTGTAGTATGTGAAATAAGCCTGTTGACATTCCTAGAACATATAAATGATGATTTTGAGTCTACTAATTGCTTTCTTGTGATGCTGGGTTACTTAGCTATTTTCTCTAAGCCTCAGATATCTCATATAAAAAACTGAATGTAGATATACTTACCTGTCAGGGGAGATACCATGACCATGAAGGTGGATTTCCCAGGGCAGTGAGGCTTATCCATTGCACTCCAGATATGCGGACCCCTGTGATTTCCCCAAATGTGAGAAATTCGACTGCATAATTTGTGGTAGTGGGGGACTACATTCGCACTCTTCCCCTGATAAAAAAAGAAAAAGAAAAAATGTATGTAGAATTATGACTGCTATGCTAAAGATGTTGTTGTTAGATGGAATTGAGTCATAGGCATTCTATTCCCACACAAAAGAGAAACACTGCTTAGCCCTGTGCCATTCTCACTATTGTTTGAGCACATTGCTGAAGCCACAATATCAATCTATTTTCTGGAAGGTCTTCCTCGATTTCATTGACCATCTAAATTCTATCATGCAATCTTCCATTGTGTTTCTGGCACCATGGCCATATTTTCCAACTATTGAGCATTGATTTTGGTCCAGCCTTTACATTCCCATAAGTTGTTGTTGTTAGGCACCATGAAGTCATTCCAAACCATAGTGAGCCCACTCACAACAGATAAACTACAACGACAACAACAAACCACTTCCCAGTACTGCACTATCCTCATAATTGTTGTTATGTTTTTGTTTTAGTGCCAAATTTTGAAGTCATTCTGTCAATGCCATTGAAGGAGCTTCCTCTTTTTAATGCAGTCCCTCCGCTTTACAAGCATGATATTCTCCACGCACTTGTCTCTCTTCATAATGTGTCTGCAGTACTTGAAACAAAGTCTCACCACCCTTACTTCCCAGGAGCATTCAGGCTGTACTTCTTCGAAAATCCATTTGATTATTCTTCTAACCGTCCATGGCCCTTCCATTGTTCTTTACTAGTAGCATTTTTCAAACACATCAATTCTTTGGTCTTCCATATTAATTGTCCAACTTTCGCAGAGATATGAGGAATTCGAAATACCAAGGTTTGGATCAGGTGAACCTGTCCTCAAAGTGACTTCCACACTTGCTCTTCAATTCTTTAAATAGGTCTTACACAACAGATTTTTCCATTGTAAAAAAATAATTTTATTTCTACAGATATTCAGCCAAAATTTTCAGTATACAATGATGGACAATTAATTAAACTGAGGAAAATGAGGGTGCACTAAAATGTCTACCCCTAACTCCCCTTTGTGACCTAGAACCCAGCAGTTGATTTCATCTGTGACTTCTTCTGGGGAAGTTCTTTATGTTTAGGGATTCTATTTTAAATCTTTCATGTACTTTCAAGCAGCAAAAAGCTCAGAAAATGCAATGGAAGGATAATGATTTTATTTTAGGAACTCTTTGAAGCACTCTAGTACAATTGTCTAGGGTGATTTCAATGAATTGTGTTTTTTTTTGTTTTTTTTGTTTTTTTTGTTTTTGGTTTTTTGCTTCATGGATCTCTTACTACCTCCAAGTACTGAGTGTGATTACAACGCGAGTAACCTTAAAGTACCTCAATACACTGGCCAAAATATCCTGGAAAATAGCTTCAAAATAATGACTACATTACTGTGTTAGTCTGGGTTGACTAGAGAAACAAATACATAGACACTCATATGTGTGTAAGAGAGAACTTTGTATCAAAGAGTAATTGTATATTAAGAAAATATCCAGCCCCTAGATCAAGTCCCTAAGTCAGAAATTGCCCTATATGTCGATACTAGTCCATAAATTCCGGATCAAGTCCATAAGTCCAATATGACCCCATATGTCAATAATAGTCCATAAATTCTTCTTTAGATTCATGCAGCCATGTAATGATGCCAAATACAGGAAGATAACAGGCTAGTGGCTGGAAAGTCTTGTGGCTCCAGTGGTGGTATGATATAGTTAAAGTTTATTGTGCCAACCTGGTTGATAAACACATGTGAGGTTAATTGAAGGCAGAGGGATAAATGGCTCGGCGAGCCTCACCTTTCTGGTTCTTGGGTCTCTTGCTTTGTGATGGTCAGACCAGGGTGCAATTGCCTTAGCCAGTTCTTTGCTTCAGCCAGCAAGGCTCACTTCCTACAAGACATCTCTGAGGAGAAGCCGCATGGACCTACTCCGATGCAGCCCTGGGTGCTGGAACAGCCATGTGGAGATCCCTGCCAGCACTTAGATGCTTGCACATTCACTGATTTGGCTTTCCTCCAGCAGTAGGTGTCATAGTATGTGTTTTGTGAAATGGAGGAGGACTTTGTGGATTGGTGTTGGATATATGGGTTGATGTTGGACTTGTGGGCTTGGGCAGCACTGGGTTGGGATATTTTCTTGATGTGCTATATATAAAACTATATATAAAACTCTCTCATATGAGTTTCTGTGGATTTGTTTCTCTAAAGTACCCAGACTAACACATGGTGGAAGCTTCTCAGTGCTGTAACTCTCCAAGTCACTCCTCCAGCTCTACAGTTTTGGCTCTATCACCATGAGGCTTGTCAACAGAAATGTCTCCCAGAGAGTGAGTGCATCTGACTTCCAGTGAGCTTTTTTTCTCTGTTGAGCCTAAAAATGAGGTCATCAAGCTGTAACCTGATTGACAGGCTAAATACCACCCCTTCACTCTTAATTGTCTCACCTTGACACCAGATTATGTAACTACCACAATTACAACATAGAAGCTACGTTATTTGAAATTTTCATAATATCTCTTAAATTAGATATTCCCATTTATTTGTTTGTACTTTAGCTCCTTTGTACTCAACATGAGAAGTGAAAAAAAGTATTGAATGAATTTATTTCAAGCAAAATGTGTTTAAATGTGTCTCTCTGGTCTCTGAATGAGTGGACACAATTTTTATAGAAAATTTCCTTCAATAATTCAC